CAGGAGTTCGAGACCAGCCTGGAAAACACAGTGAGATATCATCTCTACAAATAAAAAAAATTAGCCGGGGTGGTGGTGTACACCTGTGGTTCTAGCTACTTGGGAGGCAAAGGTGGGAGGATCACTTGATCCTGAAACATCAAGGCTTCGGTGAGCTGTGATTGCACCACTGCATTCCAGCCTGGGTGACAGGATGAGACCCTATCTCAAAAAAAATTATTTTTAAATTAAAAAACAGAGATGTGAGTTCAGTTTCAGATTAACTGTATTATAGTATTGAGAGGGTCCGTGGGGTGCTTGCGAGGAGGTATCCAAATAGGCATTTGGCAATGTAAGTCTTGAACTAAAGAAAAACCGGGGCTAATGAGAGATTTGGTAGTCTAGATGAAAATACTAAGAAAGACTTCTCATCCTGTACGTATTTGAGGTTCCTGGAACCTTTTGAAGACACCCAAATTGGCCATAGGATCTTGAACCATCTTCCATTCTTCCATTTTCAAGTTCTTTTTTTTTTTTTTTTTTTTTTTGAGGTGGAGTCTCGCTCTTGTCACCCAGGTTGGAGTGCAGTGGCAATCTCGGCTCACTGCAACCTCTGCCTCCTGGGTTCAAGTGATTCTCCTGCCTCAGCCTCCAGAGTAGCTGGGATTACGGGCATGCGCCATCTTGGCCAGCTTTTTTTTTTTTTCCTTGTATTTTTAATAGGGATGGGGTTTCACCATGTTGCCCAGGCTGGTGTCGAACTCCTGACCTCAAGTGATCTGCCCACCTTGGACTCCTAAAGTGCTGGGATTATAGGCATGAGCCACCGCACCCAGCCTATTTTCAAGTTCTTTTGGCCATAACATTCTGGTGAGCTCTTTCATTCCAAGCATGTTGCCTGTTTCGCCTCACTTGACCTTGTCTTTTTCCTCCCATACGGTAACCACCTCCCCTCCCCTCGGAAGCCCTCCTGGGTGGCAGAAGTGAATGCTAACTCGCTTGTAGTTCGCACCTTCTTCATCTTTGGTTATGAAGGAGATGGGGTTAAACCATGTGTTCCAGCCAACAGCGTGTGGAAAGACTGTGACAAGGAGGAGCACAGCATGTCGTGAAGAACTGAGAGAAGGCCAGTGTGATTGCAGCACAAAGTGCGGGGGCGGGCGAGGCACAGGCCCGCCCTGCAGGGCCTTGTAGACCTTGCCAAGAGCAGTGGTGGGGGGAGGGGGGGAGGAGGGTTTTAAATGGGAGTGTAGAGTGGGAGACTGTAAGGATCAGTTTTACAATGTGGAAAAGCCAGTTCCGGTCAGTTGTCATGGAGAGCATGAATTGGAGTGGATCCAGAGTGGACACGGGAAGGCCTGCAGGGAGGGTTTTGCCGCCTGCTGATGACAGTCTGTAGCCTGTTCATACTCTTTTGTGTCCTTTTGTGAATGTGAATGTATACTGTATAGATGTGTGGACTTGAGCTGACTTGTTCTTTTGCTGTTTAATCTGACTCATCTCCTTTGTAAATAGTAAGGTTATTGAGGGTGAAGATCAGTTTTCTTTCTCTTTTTTTTTTTTCTATGCTCTAAATCCCTATGCTATGACACAGGAAACACAATGGATATTTAGATTGTGACTACTGAAAATCGCCCCAAGGTGCCGCGTTTAAAAAACTCACCCAAGGTTGGCTGGGCGCGGTGGCTTACACCTGTAATCCCAGCACTTTGGGAGGCTGAGGCGGGCAGATCATGAGTTCAGGAGTTTGAGACCAGCCTGACCAACATGGTGAAACCCCATTTCTACTAAAAATACAAAAAAAAAAAAAAAAAAAAAAAAAAAAAGCCTCACTCAAGGCCAGGCGTGGTGGTTCATGCCAGTAATCCCAGCACTTTGGGAGGCCGAGGCGGGCAGATCCCCTGAGGTCAGGAGTTTGAGACCAGCCTGACCAACATGGTGAAACCCCATCTCTATTAAAAGTACAAAAATTAGCCGGGTGTGGTGGTTCCAGTACTGGGGTTCCAGTACTTGGGAGGCTGAGGCAGGAGAATCTCTTGAACCCGGGAGATGGAGGTTGCAGTGAGCCGAGATCACGCCAGCCTGGGTGACAGAGCACTCCAGCCCGGGCAGCAGAGCAAGACTCTGTCTCAAAACAAAACAAAACAAAACTCACCCAAAAGTAACCTTTATTGGACTTATTAAATTGACAGTGGTTGCTTTTTGTTCTGCTTTTGGTTTCTAGACATTTGGATGGAGGATTAGATAATACAGAGAAAAATCTGGACATCTAAGGCCTTCCTACTCAAAGTGTGGTCTGTGGACCAGCTGCATTGGGTTAGAAATGAAAAATCAGCTGCGTGCGGTGGCTCATGCCTGTAATCCCAGCACTTTGAGAGGCTGAGGCAGGAGGATTGCTTGAGCCCAGGAGTTTGAGACCAGCCTCGACTACATAGGGAGACCCCATCTCTATAAAAAATAAAAAATTAGCCAGGTGTGGTGGTGCACGCCTGTAGCCCCAGATACTCCAGAGGCTGAGGTGGAAGGATCGCCTGACCCTAGGAGGTCAAGTCCACAGTGAGCCATGATGGCATTACTGCACTCCAGTCTGGAGTCTGGGCAACAGAGTGAGACCCTGTCTTAAAAAAAAAAAAAAAAAAGAGAAAGGAAAGAAAGAAATGAACAATCTCAAGGCCCACCCCAGACCCATTGAATTGGAATCTGCATTTCAGTACAATCCCCAGTGAATTCTCACCTGTATTAAAGTTTAAGAAACATCTGGGTTTCTAAGCAACATCCCCCTGCACGTCTGTGGATAATATTGGTCCCTCAGATGTATGTGGCATCTATCGCATCCCATCTGGTGTGGAAATCTGTGCCTATGGTTTCTTTCCCTGCCAGGTTGTGACTTCCTGGAAGGTAGGGGCTGATCGCTGTGTATAGCTCTGGATCTCTTTTTTTTTTTTTGAGACGGAGTCTCGCTCTGTCGCCCAGTGGCGCGATCTCGGCTCACTGCAAGCTCCGCCTCCCTGGTTTACGCCATTCTCCTGCCTCAGCCTCCCGAGTAGCTGGGACTACAGGCGCCCGCCACCATGCCCAGCTAGTTTTTTGCTATTTTATTTTAGTAGAGACAGGGTTTCACCGGGTTAGCCAGGATGGTCTCGATCTCCTGACCTCGTGATCCACCCGTCTCGGCCTCCCAAAGTGCTGGGATTACAGGCTTGAGCCACTGCGCCCGGCCAGCTCTGGATGTCTTATAGCACAATGACAGCAAGCAGAAGGCCTGGCTCTCTGTCCTGGCTCTGCCATTTATGAGCTCTTCGTGTTGTATCATCTGTGAGAGGATTTTCCATCTTTCCAAGGAAGGGATTCATCCCAAATCTAACTGTTTAAAACTCAGAGACAGACCAGGTGCAGTGGCTCACGTCTGTAATCCCAGCACTTTGGGAGGCCAAGGTGGGTGGATTACCTGAGGTCAGGAGTTCGAGACCAGCCTGGCCAACATGGTGAAACCCCGTCTTTACTAAAAATACAAAAAAAAAAAAAAAAAAAAAAATTAGCCAGGTGTGGTGGCGGGGGCCTGTAATCCCAGCTACTCAGGAGGCTGAGGCAGGAGAATCGCTTGAACCTAGGAGGCGGAGAGTACAGTGGGCCAAGATCATGCCATTTCACCCCAACCTAGGCAACAAGAAACTCCGTCTCAAACAGAAACAAAAATGTCAAAGATGAAGCCGGGCACAGTGGCTAAACCCCAGAACTCTGGGAGGCCAAAGTGGGTGGATCATTTGAGGTCAGGAATTCAAGACTAGCCTGGCCAACATGGTGAAACCCTGTCTGTAATAAAAATACAAAAACTAACTGGTGGTAATGGTGCGCGCCTGTAATCCCAGCTACTCAGGAGACTGAGGCAGGAGAATCGCTTGAACCTGGGAGGCGGAGGTTGCGGTGAGCCAAGATTGTGCCACTGCACTCCAGTCTGGGCGACAGAGAGAGACCCTATCTCAAAAATAAATAAATAAATAAATAGAAATAAATAAATAAAAGTCAAAGACAGTGGAAGACTCCTGTACCTAGTTTATTTCCCGGCTTCATCTACAGGAGAAGGCACTTATGGATGGAAGGAAGAAGACAGTAACCAATTCTAAAGTAAATGATGTCCAGGGTATATGAGGAACTTGGGTTGTAGTTGCCCCAACAGCTTCCTCAAGGCTTTTCTAGAAGTTTCTAGCTTTACCGAAAGTTCCTGTCAGCATCAAAAGCAAGCCAAGGCCAGGCATGGTGGCTCACACCTGTAATCCCACCACTTTGGGAGGCCGAGGAGGGTGGATCACTTGAGCCCAGGAATTCGAGACTAGCCTGGCCATCAGGGCAAAAACCCGTCTCTACTAAAAATATAAAAAATTAGCCAGGGTTAATGGCTCATGCCTGTAGTCCCAGCTACTCAGGAGGCTAAGACAGGAGAATTGCTTGAACCTAGGAGGTGGAAATTACAGTGAGCCGAGATCACACATTCCAGCCTCTAAAAAAGAAAAACAAAAACAAAAAAAGCAAGTCAATAATTATCATGGGAGAAGCATGGCAAAGTCTCTGTGCTCTGCAGATGTCTTGTGAAGCTCAGGTCACAGATGGAGTTGTGAGGGACACATTGCTAGGGCCTGGGTGGGTTCTGAGGCTCAGGACTTTCAAGGGGCCATGGAAGTCAGAGTGCTGCTGTAATCTTCACTCAGAAAGCCCAGCTCAAGAGGATTTGTTCCCTGCCTAGAGGGATATGATCTGGAGTCCTCAAAAGCCCCCACAGCCAGCTGTGAACAGGGAATAGCAAAGAGTTTGGGAAGAGATGAGGAAAGAGTAGGGAAGAAATATTTCTATTAGGTTACTGCAAAAGTAATTGCAAAAACCGCAATTACTTTTGCTGCAACCTAGTACATAGTATGGAAGTAATATCTGCTGAAGCCAAACGGTGTATCAGCTGTTCTGCACATGTGACTCTGAAGTCGGGGAGCGGGTGAGCTTTGTGTTGATCTGGCATTTTTCAATTCAGAAAAAGGCTGGGAGATTCAGATGGGAGAGAAGGAACTCAAAGCAAAGGTCTGCCAGCCTACTGTCAAAGATACGACACCTCAGGTCTAACGTGCTGCAGTTTTATTTTTTCTTTTTCTTTTATTTTTGTAGAGATGGGGTCTTGCTATGTTGCCCGGGCTGGACTCAAACTTCTGGGGTCAAGTGATTCTCCCACCTCAGTCTCCAGGAGTTTGCATATTACAGCCATGAGCCACTGTGCCTGGTCCTCTGCAGTTTCTACAAGAGGTTCATCAATAAGATTCTCAGCATCATACTCCAATTAGGCTCCCCACTTAACCAATTGTTTCTAATGACCGATTATTAATTTGCAAGAGAATTCTTCCTTCAACTAATACCACCCCACTCAGAGTTCAGTATCTTCCTTCACTTTAATTTTTATTGCTTCTCCAGTTCAGACAGTTCAGCGCTTCCTCTTTGTTCTTCCTCACCTTGTTCATGGTGGTCCTGGCTGTTCCATCAGCAGAACTACAAAACCAGAAAGGCAACAAAATTTGAAAGGTTTCTCAGCATCCTCCAAGGAGGCTGTGGGGGAATATGAAAAAGAAGGTGGTGTCTGGAGCCACACAGACCAGAGTCCAAAGCCCAGCTCTGCCATTATTAGCTGTGTGATCTTGAACATACTACTCACCTGTAAAATGAGCTGATAATGCTGGTGAATGTGAGAATGATATCAGGTAATAAATGAATGGCGATTCGGTGCCAGGAATGTGCTGAGCTCTCAATTTATGATCAAGAACATCACTGGGATGACTACTAACAGGTTAGACTGTTAGTAGTCTAACAGTCTACTACTAACTTGGTTAGACTTTCAGTCTCCCACGTGGTAACAGAGACCATCTGGAAGTGTGTTCAGAAGCCTGTAGTTGTTACCTCTAGTGGATCCTGTCCCTCCAACCAGGAGGAATCAAGGAGGAGGAGCTGGATTTAGAGCATTCAGAATGTCCTTTCTCTAACAGTAACAAAATCACAAGAGCTACATTTATTGAGCATTTACTCTGTGCTAGGCAGTATTAACATGTATTAACTCATTTCCCCCTTACAATCACTCTGTGAGGTAGGCGCTAATACCACTCCCAATTTTTTTTCTTTCTGAGACGGAGTTTCACTTGTCACCCAGGTTGGAGTGCAGTGGCAAGATCTTGGCTCACCATAACCTCTGCCTCCCAAGTTCAAGCGACTCTCCTGCCTCAGCCTCCCGAGTAGCTGGGATTACAGGCGTGTGTCACCACACTTGGCTAATTTTGTATTTTTAGTAGAGACAGAGTTTCTCCATGTTGGTCGGGCTGGTCTCAAACTCCTTGCCTTAGGTGATCCACTGGCCTCCCCAAGTGCTGGGATTACAGGTATGAGCCACTATGCCCGGCCTATCACTCCCATTTTACAGGTAAGGAAGCAGATCAGAGAGGTTAAGCGAGTTGCTCAAACTCCCATAATACTAATAGATGACATACCCAAAATAGTAAGAATAGTGGTTTTATGTACCAGGTATGTCTGTGCTCAGGGCCTTTTTTTTTTTTTGTATGGTTGTATAATTTGTTGACTGCACAAAAGAGCCTGGCCAAAGGGGCAAGCTGAGGCTGAAACTTAGCCCCTGCTCTATTTGCTCTGTACCCTGGCATAAGGCTGTGTCACCTGGAGGAAGGGACACCTTTTCCTAATTTGACAAAGATGCCATATGAGCTCTCAAGGCCCTGTTAATGCTTTACATGTGTTACCTTCTCTAATCCTCAAAACAGCTCTGTGGGCTAGATATGAATACCCTCATTTTATAGATGAGGAAATCCAGGCTTAGTGAGTTCAAGTCACTGAGCTAAGTCACTTTGTAAGGGGTAAAGCTAGGATTCGAGCCTGATGCCAAATCCCATGCTCTAAACCAGTAGGCCACTATACTGACCCCATCCCTAAGTGCTCAATAAGTGAAAAAAGAAAAAATACATAATCATCTGGTTTTTACCTTTAAAAATATGGCAGTTCTAATGAGGCCCCAGTAAGGACTACTGAGGTCCTTAGTAAGAAAAAGAATTGATCAGGAAGTCGGAGCATCGGCTTTCAGTGCTCCAAACTGTGGCTTTATGCTTATTAACTATTTCTGTATTTCAATTTCCCTGTCTGAAAGTAAGAATAACATTATAAAGGAACAATTCTTATAGTTGTTTGCAAAGTGTTTATGCATACGTAATAATCCTCATGTCAAAATGATCCTCACATCATCAACCCTGGGACAAAGGCATTCTTATTCCTCTTTCGCTCGAGGAGGTGAGTAACACGCTCAGGGTGAGTAGCACAGAATGGCACCTGAAGCCAGGGATCCTGACTTGTCTTGTACTCCTTGCTAAGTACCTTAGAACTTCTGGAGCACCTGTAGCCTGCCTGCTGGCCCAGACATCACATGGTGCACATACAAGTCGGAGAGCAGTTGGAAACTGACATTAGTCACGTGACCACACTCTGTTCCTTCAGGAGACTTGGCAGGAAGGAGCACTCTGGGAGGAGTCTTTGCTTGGCTCCCATGCCTGAAAACAACACTTCTGCCTTTGCAGAAGCTGGGGCGGTCTGAGTTACAGACTTGGGTAATGTAAGACTTCCAGAGCTTCCTTAGGAGGGAAGGATGACCTGGTGGGATTTAGGGTCAACTCCTTTCTGACAGGGCTCAGCCTTCCTGTTTCCCATCCCCGGCTGTGGCCAGGTTCAAAGGAAATACCATCTGTGGAAGCACTTTCCATAGAGGCGTGGTCCAAGTGCAGAATGTTTTTCCTCTCCTCTGTGGATCTCAGGAAGCCGATTCCATCTGTGCTCGAATGACAGACTTGCTCATCCTGTGATAAAATGTGGGCTGCTGCCCCCACCCCAGCTTGGTGCTCTTCTAAAATGAAAACATGCCTGTGTGTTCTCTTCCCATCTCCCCAGCAGCAGTCTGCCACTCTCTCTGGCTCTGCAGGCCTACTCTGTGCAGGCTGGCAAGCGCTGCCATGCACAAGGCCCCTTCTGGGATGTGGGTATACTACGCCTTATGCGGGCAAGGTATGTGGATGACAGGGAAGGGGGAAATATATAAACAAACAGACCTTCCAGCGATTGCCACATTCATTGCATAAGACAAAGGTAGTCATGGGCTCATCAGCACTGCGTGTCTGCACCTGAGAGAGAGAAGAACCACTCATGAAGTCACTTCGCTGTTCTAGGACCTGCCATGGCTCCCACTGTCTTTGGGAGTAGGTCCAAATCCCAGAGGTTGGCACTGATATTCCCACCCCATGTTGGCAATTTCCTTATCACTGACAGCTCCATAATATTAGTATCATGCTTTCCTCTCCTCTGGCAGTCCATCAGCTCACTCCCAGTATCTTACTGGCTTAACCTGGCCTTTTGTACTTTCACTCTTTGTTTTTGTTGTTGTCGTTGTTTGTTTTTTGTTTTGTTTTGTTTTTGACACTGTAGTCTCGCTCTGTTGCCCAGGCTGGAGTGCCGTGGTGCCATCTCGGCTCACTACAACCTCTGCCTCCTGGGTTCAAGTGATTCTCCTGCCTCAGCCTCCTGAATAGCTGGGATTACAGGCGCCCACCACCATGCCCAGCTAATTTGGACTTTCACTCTTGTTGATCACTCTTGTTGATCTTTCATAACAGATCTCTCTTCTCTTGCCTCAAGACTTATCTCCTACAGGAAGTATTCCTTGACTCACCCCTGAACACACCCTACTGGACACACTCACTAGAGTGAGCTGCAAGCAGGCTTAGTGGTCTAGTTCATCTTCCTTATTTTACTGGTGGAAGACCTGAGGCCCAGAGAGGAAAAGGGACCTAAATATCTTTGGGACTATTTAATATTATGTTTTCTCATCCTCTTAGCCTCATCATTCAGGTGCAGGAACCGGGTATCCCACAGTAAAGCCCTGGCATTTCCAGATTTAACAGCTCCTGTTTGGTTTCCTAAGGCCGACCTTGGCTGGCCATGACATGTAGCAAGTCATTACTTTGCTAACAATCAGCTATGAATGATGTCAACTGGGAATCTGTGGTGTGGGACGAGTTATGCCCGCCACCCTAGTTGAGTGAGCCCCAGCAGCCCAGCAGTCCGCCAGGCGTACACAGCTTAGCGCAGCCTGGTCACTGGATAGCAGTGACCAGCAGAAAGAAAACTTTGCTAGTGGGCAGTTTACTTCTAGAAAGAAGTGAGGCACAGGAAGTGCATCACTCCACATGGAAAGGTGCTTGGGAGAGAGCAGAAGCTTGCACAAACATCTCCGAATTCCAGACCTGGAATTCTCCAAGGGACTCCTCCAGAATGGCAAGGCTGACTGCATTTCTGCCCTGGCCACAGAATGCCGCAGGCAAGGTGCCCTTGATAAATGGTGTGTGCCGAACAGACGGAGAACTCTGAATAGAGTTGTAGAATAACTAGACACCAGTGAGAATCCAAGGATATTTGTGCTGTAAGGGCGTACCATGTGCAACCCAGAAAGAGGAGGCCATTCTCTGGTTTTAAGAGAAGGGGCCTTGGCCAGGCACAGTGGCTCAAGCCTGTAATCCCAGCACTTTGGGAGGCCGAGACGGGTGGATCACGAGGTCAGGAGATCGAGACCATCCTGGCTAACCCGGTGAAACCCCGTCTCTACTAAAAAAATACAAAAAACTAGCCGGGCGAGGTGGCCGGCGCCTGTAGTCCCAGCTACCGGGGAGGCTGAGGCAGGAGAATGGCGTAAATCCGGGAGGCAGAGCTTGCAGTGAGCTGAGATCCGGCCACTGCACTCCAGCCTGGGCGACAGAGCGAGACTCCGTCTCAAAAAAAAAAAAAAAAAAAAGGGGCCTCCACAGCCTTCCCAAGTTCCCCATGCCAAGGCAATTGTCTTCAACTGTAGGAATCAGAGCTAAAGCCCTTAGGCTTTATTGACCAAGTTAGCTGGATTGCAGGCAGAAAGGTCTGGATCTGGTTTATTACTATCTCTGACACTAGCCTGCTCTGCCACCTTGGGCAAGGCTAAAAAGCCCATCTGTGGCTTGTGTGGGCCTCAGTTTTCCTGGGTGTGTAATGAGGGAGCTGGGTTTCACATTGCCAAGTTCCCTTTCAACTGTCTGGGACTCTTCAGCCGCCATGAGTCTGATTCTTCTTCTTGTCACTTCAGGGCAGACGAGAACACACCGACCAAGCCTCATAGACACATAGTGGGATGATTCTAAACTCAGAACATTGTCCAGAAGCCACAGATGCATCACGTTAGTGTACCAAGGCTCGCCCTTCTCTCTGCAGCCTGGAGAGTTTTTAAGGTTTTCTTTGTTTTGTTGAGACAGGGTCTCGTTCTGTCACCCAGGCAGAAGTGCAGTGGTGCAATCACGGCTCTCTGCAGCCTCAATTCACTGGAGCCGCAACCTCCTGGGCTCCAGTGATTCTCATGCCTCATCACCACCCATTCCCCCTCGCATCCAGTAGCTGGGACTACAGGCATGCCCCACCAAGCCTGGCTAATTTTTGTATTTTTAGTAGAGATGACGTTTCACCAGGTTGCCCAGGCTGCACTCAAACTCCCAGGTTCAAGCTGTCCGCCTGCCTCGGCCTCTCAAAAGTGCTGAGATTATAGGTGTGAGCCACTGAGCTGGCCCAGCCTAGAGAGGTTTTTTTGTTGTTGTTTGTTTGTTTTGAGACAGAGTCTCACTCTGTCGCCCAGGCTGGAGTACAGTAGTGCAATCTTGGCTCACTGTAGCCTCCGCCTCCCAGGTTCCAGTGATTCTCCTGCCTCAGCCTCCAGGGTAGCTGGGATTACAGGCATGTGCCACTATGCCCGGCTAATTTTTGTATTTTTAGTAGAGATGGGGTTTCACCATGTTGGCCAGGCTGGTCTCGAACTCCTGACCTCAGGTGATCCACTCACCTTGGCCTCCCAAAGTGCTGGGATTACAGACGTGAGCCACTGCACCCGGCCAAGCTTAGAGAGTTTTCACCCTTTCTCCCCTCTGACTCTTCCCTAAGCTTCTCTCTGGTTTTCCATCTGTCTGCCCCTGCGCCTCCTGCGCCTCCAGCCCGTCCCCTCACTGTCCATACCTGGTTATAGGTGCAGTTCTTCTTCTTGCATTTACTGCACTGGAAGAGGTCAGTGGTGGTGCCGCCGGTCTTGGCCATCTGGTGCTCACGGATGGCCTCCTGGGTCATGGCATTCCTCAACTCCCTCAGTTCATCACTGGCCATTTCCTGGAGAAAAAAAGAGCTTGCCCTTCAGGGCTGAGGGGTCACAGGGGCCCTGCCCCACACCCAGTTTCTAGAGAGCCTGAACAGAAGAGGAGCTAACATGCTTTACTGACTGCAAGGAGCTGGAGGGAGGCCTGGATTCCAGGTCTTGCCCCAGCTGGGAGAAAGCTGTCCCCGCAGAGTCCCCTGCCGCCCACGACTGGAAGGTCATAAGGCACATTTAGGAGAGCAGCAGGCAAACAGCCTCTGCCCAAGGACAAGCACTCTTGTGTACATTTCTTCAGATCTGGGGCTCATCCTGCCTGCCAGGACCTTGGCCTTGGCCTGAAGCCTCCTGCTTGAGCTGCTTGATCACTGCCACCTGGTCTATGATGTTCCCCTTAGCCTTCCTCTCTGGACTTGACCCAGTGCTCTTTTACGCTGTGATCACTGCCCTGCTGTTCTGCTTCGTGGGAACCCTGGCACAACTACCCATGACTTCCTGCTGCTACCCCCACCCTGAAGCTCCTGGGCTCACACAACTAACTGCTCATCTGTGAGCATGCATCACCCACGCCTTTGCCTTCTCTGTCCATCTCCCTGGCCACTTGTCTCCCCTTAAGCCTCTGCCAGAGGAGAGCAGAGAGGGTGACAGTCAAACTGCAGAGAGCTCCAGTTAAGGGCTTGTGGAAGGGGAAGGAGGGTGGCTGACACGAATGTCAAAATGAGGATTTTAAACATTTTTTTTGAGACGGAGTCTCGCTCTGTCACCAGGCTGGAGTGCAGTGGTGCTATCTCAGCTCACTGCAACCTCCACCTCCCGGGTTCAAGCGATTCTGCCTCAGCCTCCTGAGTAGCTGGGACTACAGGCGCCTGCCACCACGCCCAGCTAATCTTTGTATTTTTCATAGAGACGGAGTTTCATCATGTTGGTCAGGATGGTCTCGATCTCCTGACCTCGTGATCCACCCGCTTCGGCCTCCCAAAGTGCTGGGATTACAGGTGTGAGCCACCGCGCCTGTCCTAAACTTTTTCATTGTTGCTATCTGTCAGGACTCCTTAAACCATGGAGAAGAAAGCTGGCATAAAGGTCAAAGCATTTTAGTGTGCTCGCCTTTCATGATAACCACTTAGGCTTCTTGATAAAATGCAGATTCCTATGAATCTGAATTGCTAAGGGCAGGCCCAGGAATATGCATTTTTAAAAGTTATTTATTTATTTATTTATTTTTGGGACAGGGTCTTGCTGTCACCTAGGCTGGAGTGCAGTGGTGCGATGACTCACAGCAGCCTCAACCTCCCCAGGCTCAAGTGATTCTCCCACCTCAGTCTCCCAAGTAGCTGGGACTACAGGCATGCACCATCAAACCTGGGTAATTTTTTTTTTTTTTTTTTGTATTTTTTGGTAGAGATGGGGTTTTACCACATTGCCCAGGCCGGTCTCCTGCGCTCAAGCTATCTGCCTACTTTGGACTCCCGAAGTGCTGGGATTACAGGTGTGAGCCACTGCACCTGGCCAGAATATGCATTTTCACTAGTGTCCTCAAGTTATTCTGGTACATATTAATTTTTAAAGTCCTAGTGTGTTAAATTCAAAGGCTAGGCCCTAACCAATGGCAGGAGAATATAGAAAAGCAAGTCAATGAAAGTCATTTACCCATATGAGTAAAAAGTAGCTGACTTTAATTTGGGGGGATTTTCCAGAGCACAAAGCATTTGCCCATTCAAAATTTACTGGATGTGGCAGGGTGCAGTGGCTTACACCTGTAATCCCAGCACTTTGGGAGGCCAAGACGGGAGGATCACCTGAGGTCAGGAGTTCAGGACCAGCCAGGCCAACATGGTGAAACCCCATCTGTACTAAAAATACAAAAAAATTAGCTGGGTGTGGTGGCAGCCACCTGTAATCCCAGCTACTCGGGAGGCTGAGACAGGACAATTGCTTGAACCTGGGAAGTGTAGGTTGCAGTGAGCTGAGACTGCACCATTGCACTCCAGCCTGGGCAACAAGAGCAAGAGTCCATCTAAAAAAAAAAAAAAAAAAAAAAAAAAAGCCAGGCATGGTGGTGCACGCCTGTAATCTCAGCTATTCAGGAGGCTGAGGCAGGAGAACTGCTTGAACCTGGGAGGTGGAGAGTGGAGTGAGCCGAGATCGCATCACTGCACTCCAGCTTGGGCGACAGAGCAAGACTCTGTCTCAAAAAACAAAAACAAAATCTACTGGATGCCAATTTATTGAATGCCTTTAACTGTATCAGTGTAATCAGTAAATCAGCTTTGGTTGTGGGGATGCCTCGATTTGTAGCGTTTGTCAGCTTCCGGGGGACAAAATGCTATGGTCAATGGGACAAAATTCCATGGCCAATTTCAAGCTGCTAATGTGATATAACTGAACGCAGAGTTGGGAAGAGCTACACATCACCAGCTCCCTTGAGCTGGTAGGAGCTAGCTCAAGCATGCTACTGCCTCTGAGTCCAACGGATTCAAAAAGGAAGATCTGGTTCCTCCTCCCAAGTAGTGCTAATCCGGTAGGGTAGCCAAGCATTTACATAGGATTGCAAGAGAGGGAAGGAAGTACTAAAGCCAAGGTGTATAAGGTGCAGGGGAAAGCAGCAGGGTATAGTGGTTCACTGTTTGGGGTCTGGTGGGTCATGAAGAAGCTAGTACTTTAACCAGTCTTGAAAGATAGGAGTTCCCGGGGTGGGTGGTGGCACATTCCAGACAAATAAAACAGCAGGGCCAGGCACAGTGGCTCACACATGTAATCTCAGCACTGTGGGAGGCCGAGGCGGGCAGATCACCTGAGGTCAGGAGTTTGAGACCAACCTGACCAACATGGCGAAACTTCGTCTCTACTAAAAATAGAAAAATTAGCCAGGCATGATTACATGGTTACATGGTTACAGGTGCATGCCTGTAGTCCCAACTACTTGGGAGGCTGAGGCAGGAGAATCTCTTGAACCTGGGAGGTGGAGGTTGCAGTGAGCTGAGATCATGCCATTGCACTCCAACCTGGGTGACAGCCAGACTCCATCTCAAAAGAAAAACAAAACAAAACAAAACAAATAAACAAACAACAAAACCCAAAAAAACAGCAGGCACAAAAGATCAGAGGACAAGAATAGCACGTTTGGGTAAAAATATTTGGGGTAGGTTCAAGTCGAGTGCGGGAGATGTGGCTGGAGGTCAGATTGTGAAAGGAAGGTCTTGTGTGCCAGCTGAGATATAGAGAACAGAAAAATCTATCCAGCCACACGCCAATCCATTTACTTCTCTGCCCTGCCTTATTAGAATGAGGCAGCATCAGAGACACAGAGAACAGGTACAATACGGTAGAAAATAAGGTAGAAAATGAGGGCAATGAGAGTCAGAGACCACAATTCGATCCCTGTTTGTTGAGCCCTGTGATGTACCAGACACTGTTGTCAGTGCTGGGTGGACTGTGAATGTTGGTTCTCGGGGCACTGACAGGATGGTATGTCCACTCAGCAGTGCTCATGGGTGTCTCAGAACGTACTGCATTCTTTGCTATGTCTGGGTAGGGAAGAAAAGAGAAGAAGGAAGAATGAGGGAGTCAGATGAACAAGGAAAGAGGCATAAACAGGGAGTCGGGGAAGGGAATGCTGAGAGAGACACCGTCCGCATGGGTCCTGATGGGAGCTTCCCAGCACAGCAGGCAGCCCAAGCCCAAGCTAAGATTTTTCTTTTTTTTTCTTTTCTTTTCTTTTTTTTGAGACGGAGTCTCACTCTGTCGCCCAGGCTGGGAGTGCAGTGGCAGGATCTCAGCTTACTGCAACCTCTGCCTCCTGGGTTCAAGCGATTCTCCTGCCTCAGCCTCCCGAGTAGCTGAGACTACAGGTGTGTGCCACCACACCCGGTTAATTTTTGTATTTTTAGTAGAGACAGGGTTTTGCCATCTTGATCTCCTGAGCTCAGGAGTTCTGCCCAACTCGGCCTCCCAAAGTGCTGGGATTACAAGCATGAGCCACCTCACCCGGCCTGTTGAAATCCTAACCCCAAGGTAAGGGTTATTAGGGGGTCTTTGGGAGGTGATTAGCTCTCAAGGGCAGAGCCCTGGTGCAGGGGATTAGTGCCCCTCTAATAGGAGCCTGAGAAAGACCCCTCCACCATGTGAGGTTACAGTGAGAAGATGGCTGTCTATAAGGAAGCAGGCCCTCAATAGACACTGAATCTGCTGGTGCCCTGATCTTGCAGTATCCAATCTCTAGAGATGTGAGAATTAGGCCAGGCACGATGGCTCACACCTGTAATCCCAGCACTTTGGGAGGCTGAGGCGGGTGGATCACCTGAGGTCAGGAGTTCGAGACCAGCCTGGCCAACATGGTGAAACCCCATCTCTACTAAAAATACAAAAATTAGCTGGGCGTGGTGGCGCGCACCTGTAATCCCAGCTATCAGGGAGGTTGAGGCAGGAGAATCGCTTGAACCTGGGAGGCGGAGGCTGCAGTGAGCCCAGATTGTGCCACTACACTCCAACCTGGGCAAAAGAGTGAGGTTCCATCTCAAAAAAAAACACACACACAAAAACAAGCAAACAAACAAACAAAAGAAATGTGAGGAATAAATGCCTGTTGTTTATAAACCACCCAAGCGATGGTATTTCGTTATAGCAGCCTGAACTGACGAAAGACACACTGTAAAGCCAAGTTGCAATTTATAACTCCAGGCATATGCTGCTATCTACCCAAAAAGATCAGATCTTTAAATCAGGCAGAAAGATAACCCTGGTCTACCTGTGCCAAGTTCCCCATCTTATCCTAACGCCAAGGCTCTTTGCTGTTTGTTTTGGGTATCTGAGGAAAGCAGTGAACCCTCTCCTCAGAAGAATGTACGTACACACACTACATAACACAGACACACACTTCCACATGCCACACATATGCTAATCACACACCACACATGTACTTCACATGACACATCATACACACACACTCCACACATCATACACAATGCGCCACACATCATGCACACACACTCCACACATCATACATACATACTCCACACATCATACACACACACTTCACACATCATACATACACACTCCACACAGCATACACAATACATACATACTCCACACATCATACACACCACACACACTCCACACATCATACACATACACTCCACACATCATACACAAAACACACACACTCCACACATCATACACACCACACACACGCCACACATCATACACACACTCCACACATCATAGACAATATACACATACTCCACACATCATACACACACACTCCACATATCATACACACACTCCACACATCATACACACACTCCATACATCATACACAATACATACATACTCCACACATCATACACAATGCACACACTCCACACATCATACACACCACTCACACTCCACACATCATACACAATACACTCACACATCATACACACCACACACACTCCATACATTATACATACCACACACATATACTAAACACCAAACACACCTCACACATCATACACACCACACACACACACACACACTCCACACATCATATACACCAGTGGTCCCCAACCTTTTTGGCACCAGGGACTGGTTTCCTGGAAGACAGTTTTTCCATAGACGGGGTGGGGGATGGTTTCAGGATGATTCAAGTACATTACATTTATTGTGCACTTTATTTCTATTATTATTACATTGTGATATAGATAATGAAATAACTATCCAACTCACCATAATGTAGAATCAGTGGGAGCCCTGAGATCCCTTGTTTTCCTGCAACTAGATGGTCCCCACTTGGGGTGCTGGGAGACAGTGACAGATCATCAGGCATTAGATTCTATTGAGGAGCGTGCAACCTAGATCCCTCGCATGCACAGTTCACAATAGGGTTCATGCTCCCATGAGAATCTAATGCCGCCACTGATCTGACAGGAGGCGGAGCTCAGGCAGAAATGTGAGTGATGGGGAGAGGCTGTAAACACAGATGAAGCTTCGCTAGCTTGCCCACTGCTCACCTCCTGTTGTGTGGCCTGGTTCCCAACAGGTACCAGCCGGTGGCCCGAGGGTTGGGGATCCCTAATATATACCATGCGCACATGCTCCATACATACATACACATACATACCACACATACTCCACATACACACGCCACACACGCACTCCACATATACACACCACACACGTACCCCACACATACACACCACACACGCACCCCACATATACCCCTACACACCTCACACGTCATATGTACCACACGGACACGCACTCCACACGTACAGCCCCCACGCACTCTGCACAATCTAGCTCTGGGGCCAGACAGCTTGCCTCCTGGCCTCAGCTGTTTCTAGCTGTGTGCATGGGCAAATCCATTTACTCCTCTGAGCCTCAGGATCCTCATCTGTAGAATGGGGATAATACACCTTTCTATCTCAGTTGGTGTGAACAACTTGGCCAATTCGCTGAACATGCTTAGCACAGCACTTAGAACCTATTAGCTGTGTTCAGGATTCTGCTAGCCCAGAGCCCGGTGGGGAGGCTGTGATGAGGCTGGTTGGAAAAGCTCCCTGGCTCATTGCTGCTGAGTCACGAGCCACTGACCCTCTGCACTAGGCAGGGCTGGGGGGACCTGGCTTCCTGCCCCACCATGCAGACGCCCTGCTCTCACCTCTGCTGTCATCTTGGCTATGAGCCCTGCAGAGATGGCCCCACTGAGCACATTCCGCCGCAGGCCGGGGTTCCTGGGGTCCTTGAGGTTGCTAATGCGGCTGCGCACGCGGTTCCGGTACTTCATGTCTGTGCTCTTGAGCTCTTGGTAGATATGTGACACAGTCAAGGGCCAGCCAGCCACTCGTGGAGGGGCACGGAAGGGTGCAGGCCTGGCCCTGATGCATGAGGAGCTCCAGGACCCTCTCTTCCTATCCCTGGATTTCTACAGGGGTTGGGCCCCTCTTTTGTGACCTCTGACTCCCCAAGTGGGGATCTCTCTTGGGCATTTGTGGTCAGCCAAGTATCAGAGACAGAAAACAGTCTCTGGGGGTAAGATCAGATCATAGCAAGCACTATAGTGTCAGGGACACCAGGACCCTGGGTTTGTCTGAGCCTCTTGTGTGACCTCAGGTGAGTCACACAACCTCTATACGCCTGAGTTTCCTTATTTATAAAATACAAGGATTCTGTGAACTAAGCCACACGATGCAGTAGTGTGGTGTCTGGGATATATCAAATGCTCAACATACATGGGCTGCTAAGATGATGACAAGGATGCAGAGAACTTCTAGTTGGGAAGGGCCCCTGGAGGTTGTGAGTCCTGCTGTCAGAGGAAAAGATTAAGAGCCACATGTTTAAGGTTCTAAGAAGCCTTATTGCAAAAAAGAAACCACTGAGCTTTGTTTAATCTGGTGTTCCCAATACATTTGATTATAGAGTCCCCGTCCCCTCCATCCTTTCTGCTACAAGACCTGTTACCATCCCATGGAACCCACGCTGGGAATTGCTGGTCAGAGTTACTTCTCCCATTAATAGATGAGGCAGCTGAGGCTTAGAAAGGGTGCAGGCCCTTGCTCAAGGCCATGGGGCAAATTCCCGGCAGAGACAGGGCTGGAAGCCAGACCCCTCCTGACGGTAACACTCTCTCCACTCACCCGGCAGGAAGTCACCCCTGGCCACCAACCACAGTGAGTTTCTGTCCAAATACTGCATCCTAGGCAGGCTTCCGAGCCTCCCACTCCCTCCACCCTCTGGAGGAGCTCGGGGAACACAGCCTCATTTTCTTGGTCTCCTGAGCCAAGGAAGATCAGGAAGACAAAGCTGTTGCTGGGAATAACCATATACAAGAAAGCGACTGCGGGGAATGTGGAAAAATGAAAACAGATGACTTGCTAGAAGTGGTGGGAGGGGAGGTGGTATTCTTTCTTTATTCTGTTATTGTTTTAATGCTGTCTGTACAATAAAAGTGTGAAAAGCAAAGAATATGCCACAATGCATGTGAAAGCCAAAAAATGTGTTTTAAAATGTGCCACATGGGATTCCTCGGGTGTACTGATATGTGGAGCCAGCAGGGCTGGCGATATTTCACCAGTCTCTGACTCCGTCTCCATGCCCCAAGGTCACAGGAGGGGACGAGGTGGAGAGCAGTCCCAGGGGGCACTGGCCCCTCAGAGGAACTTTTGGCTGCATTGTTAGCACAGGGCCACTCCAAAGAGCACAGATCTATTTTAGGACACAGAGCAGTCAAGCCCCCAAATGTACCCTCCCCCTGACCTCCAGCTAGCTAAGAACAAAGAGCTAAAGGGTTTGATGGAGCTTTGATTTCCTCTCCTTTAGAACAGGGACATTCAGGCCGGGCGCAGTGGCTCACACCTGTAATCCCAGCACTTTGTGAGGCTGAGGAGGGCGGATCACCTGAGGTCAGGAGTTCGAGACCAGCCTGGGCAACATGGTGTAACCCCATCTCTACTAAAAATACAACAAAATTAGCCAGGTGTGGTGGTGGGCACCTGTAATCCCAGCTACTTGGGAGGCTGAGGCAGGAGAACCACTTGAACCCAGAAGACAGAGGTTGCAGCGAGCAGAGATCATGCCACTGCACTCCAGCCTGGGCAACAGAGCGAGACTCCATCTCAAAAAAAAAAAAAAAAAAAAAGGAACAAAAAAAGTGGATGGAGGAAAGACTGGGAGTGGAACTTTGTAGTGGACCATCTGCTGTTGTTTCAAACTGGGCTTAAAGGTGAAAAGGACCTGCTTGGAGGGATGACTGTTCAGGAGAAAATGAAGATGAAACTTGTGATAGTTCTGATACCTTGTGTTCTGCCTTCCTGAATTAATGGGAAATGATGAAAATGTACTTTTTGAGGTACTGAATGGCTCCAGACTTGTTGAGGTATTGCTGATTAATCATTAAATGAGAGTAGAGAGAAACCACCAGAAAATGAGTTGGAGGGAATTAGGGTAGGCCACAGGCAGGAGATGGAAACGCAAATTTGTCGTCTGCAGATCGGCCCCTGCCCCTCCCCAACAGACCTTGCTGAACTCCGCAGGTAGAGCCCAGGAGCCCTCAAAAGGGTCGCTTGCATCTCGGTGTGACACTTAGACTTCCTGTCCCCTGATTGCCTCCCTGCTCCAACACCATGCAAACCTTTGTCTCTAGTAAAAGAAGCTCCATGTTTTCATTCAATGGGGGCCAAGTGAGGAGGGAATTTTTTTCTCCCAAGCCAAACATCTTTTGGTGCAAGAGATCTATTAATATATCCCAGTGGTGGTCACCTCTCCTGTCTACACAAGGCCCCTTTCAGGTGATAAGTTGGGGAGCAGGGGGCACATCGAAAGGGTTCAGTAGATGGAATCCAAAGACAAAGTCTCTAGTCCCGCTTTGACACCGAGCAGTTCTGAGCCTCAGACTCCTCTTCCGTAAAATGGGAACCATCCCTGCCTCACAGAGAATGTTGTGAGAGCTAACAGAGGTAGGAATTGTCAATTGGCCATTGCAGTGCTTGATATATATTTGGGAGTAAAAAAATGGGGCAGGGGGTGCTGGGCATGGTGGCTCACGCCAGTAATCCCAGCACTTTGGGAGGCAAAGCAGGGGTGCATCACCTGAGGTCAGGAGTCCGAGACCAGCCTGACCAACATCGTGAAACCCATCTCTACTAAAAATACAAAATTAGCCAGGTGTGATGGTGCATGCCTGTAATTCCAGCTACTTGAGAGGCTGAGGCAGGAGAATTGCTTGAACTCAGAAGTTGTAGGTTGCAGGGAGGCGAGATTGCGCCATTGCACTCCAGCCTGGGCAACGAGCGAAACTCCGTCTCAACAACAACAAAAAAAGGGGAGCTGTTAACATCAAAGGATGGGAGAAGGGAAAAGGCTGAGCATGAGAAATGCTGACCTCTCAGTCTAGTCTGTTCTTGGAGGTAACGACTTGACCAACTGAGGCACGCTATTACACAGCCTAGCTGGCACAGCTGCTGAGCCTCCAGGTTCCAGGGTCACACTTTCTGGGTTCAGATCCCATCTCTGTTACTACTGTTAGCTGTATGGGCTTTGGGAAATGATTCGACCTCTCTGAGTCTCGGTGACTTCACCCATGAAACTGGATAAATCAGGGAACCTAGCCTGTGGGGTTGTTATCAACACTAAATGAGGTACTGCTCATTTTCAAGTTTTGCTGGCAGGTGTAAAATAATAATGAATGTTAGATAGAATTAAGAGCTCTGGTTCAGGGGCAGAGCAGGGGCTGTTCCTGGAGCCCTTCCTCTCCTTCCTCACTCTCCCAGCTCACTTGCACCTTGGAGGGGTGCTGCTAGACGGTCCAGACACCCACAGCCCTGGCACAATTCAAGGATATGATCTTCGATTTCTGATGCCATCTTGTCACAGTTGACTCCATAGTCCTTGTAATCATCTAAAAGAGATTCGAGAAATACAGGTATCAGCCAGACACAACATAGGCAGTGAAGCCTGCTTGTGCCAGGAACTACAGTGTTCCTGTACCATACCCAGGGGTGCTGAGAAAGACTGAATCTCATCTGCCCTTGGCAAGATTGGGAAAAGGAACCCCTTCCCTCCCTCATCCCTAGCCCAGGCTCTCTCACCGTCCACCTTCAGGGCTGCTGACAGCATCTCCACACACTTGTCCCGGACAGAGTCCCCTGTGAGATAGCAGGGGGCCAGGAGACAGATGGAGGAGGCAAACGTGGGGGTCAAGGGGCTGCTAGGTGTTCTGGGGCTCTCCGCTTTTGATTTGCTGCTGTTTGATCTGAGGATGACAATCAGTAACAGACATTTGACATTAAGAGAGTAAAGCATTTATTGAGCAGCATTCTAGATGTCTTGATGGATGATCTCCTATAATCCTCATAACCCAATGAGGTAGATACTATTTTAGGCATTTGACATGGATCATCTCATTTAATCCTCGTGACAACCCCATGAGGTTGATACTATTCTTATCCCCATTTGAGAGACGCATTTTAAAGTGCATGGTAGAGAAAGATGTATCTAAAGGTGCACTTGGCTCAGGTCACACTTCGACGAACCAGTAGAAACAGAATTCAAACCCAGGCAGCTGGCTCTTAACCAGCCACTGTGCTTTCCTCATTGTAGAACAGTGTAACGCCACCAAGAATTATATGCAATTGATTATGCACTGTGCTAGCTGCTATCTATGCTCTCCTAAATGTATGAACTGTTTATTCACTCATTCACTAAATATTTATTAGACACCTATTCTCCAGGCACTTGCCAAGAACAAGGGATAATGCAGATAAGTCAGCAAAGCTCCTTCCCTCAAGGGGCTTACAATCTAGTGAATAGCGACTATCTACCACCATTTAAAAGGGCTGGCTTTACTGGATGGCAGAACTGTGCCAGGCACTTTACAAGAATTTTCCAATTTAATCTTCATACCCGTCCCAGGAGGTAGATACTCTCATCATCCCCATTTAAAGATGAGGAAATAAACCCAGAGAGGTACACCACTGAGATTTGCCTAAGGCTACACACCACCACGATTTGAACCCACATTTTTCTAATTCCAACACTTATGCTCTTTTATTAATTTATTTTATTTTTTGAGATAGGCTCTCTCTCTGTCACCCAGGCTGGAGTGCAGTGGTGCAATCATGGCTCACTATAACCTTGACCTCCTGGGCTCAGACAATCCTCCCACCTCAACCTCCAAGGAGCTGGGACCACAGAAGCACGCCATCATGCCTGGCTAATTTTTACATTTTTTTGTGGAGATGGGATCTCACCATGTTGCACAGGCTGATCTAAAACTCCTGGGCTCAAGCAATCCACCTGCCTCGGCCTTCCAAAGGGCTGGGATTACAAGTGTGAGCCACCACACCCAGTCAACACCTATGCTATAATCTATGATGTACTATCCAAGAATGATCTCATTCTGGTTTTGTTTAAAGTGTATATGTGTGTGTGTGTGTGTGTGTGTGTGTATGCATATATGCACAGACATTTAGAAGGCTAACTATGTGGCTCAAGCTGTCATAACAAAATATCAGACTGGGTAGCTTTGCTAACAGAATTTATTTCTCATGGTTCTGGAGGCTGGGAAGCCCAAGATCACGTTGCTGGCCAATTTGCTTTCAGGTGAGGGCTCTCTCTTTGCTTGCGAATGGCAATCTTCTCATTGTATTCACATGGTGGCTCTTCTCATAGGGATAGTAATCCTATTGGATCAGGGCTCCACCCTTATGACCTCATTTAACCTTAATGAAGGCCCTATCCCCAAATACAGTCACAATGGGGTTTGGGATTTCAACATATGAATTTTAGGGGGTCACATTCAGCCCGTAACACCATGTTAATAGCAATTATCTCTCTGAGGTGGAATGATAGATTTTCTTCATTTGCTTATGCCTATTTGCCAAATCTTCTATAAAGAATATATCTACTTTTGTGATGTGAGAAACACTTTTTTTTTTTTTTTTGAGAGGGAGTCTCGCTCTGTCATCCAGGCTGGAGTGCAGTGACACAATCTTGGCTCACTGTGACCTCCACTTCCCAGATTCGAGCGATTCTCCTCCCTCAGCCTCCCTAGTAGCTGGGATTACAGGCGTGTGCCACCACGCCCAGCTAATTTTTGTATTTTTAGTAGAGATGGGGTTTTGCCATGTTGGCCAGGCTGGTCTTGAACCCCTGACCTCAGGTGATCTACCCACCTTGGCCTCCCAAAGTGCTGGGATTACAGGCATGAGCTACAGTGCCCAGCCAAAAAATGCATTCGTGCCAAAAATGCATGGAAGTGTGGAAGACCAAGGTTTGCATGGGCAATGTCAAAGGGCTCAGTGTAGCTGGAGTGTGAGGGCGAGGGAGCTTGTGAGAAGGAGAGGGAGTTGGAGAGAAAAGATCTAACCAGACTCTGGGGTTTTTAAGGATGGTAAAACAAAAGCCACCATTTACTGCAGGTCTGCTCTTTATTCTTCTTGATAACCCTAAAGGTCACAAATTACTGGGCCCATTTTACAGATGATGGAATGGAGCCTTGAAGAAGTGAAGTGTGTCAATCATAGCTCACTGCAATCTCGAACTCCTGGGCTCAAACGATCCTCCCGCCTCAGCCTCCCAAGTAACTAGGACTGACTCCGGGCAGATGGTGCCACATCAGGCCAATTTTTTTTTTTTTTTTCTGTAGAAATAGGGTTCTCAATATGTTGCTCAGGCTGGACTCAAACTCCTGGCCTCAAATGATCCACTCGCCTTGGCCTCCCAATGTGCTGGGATTACAGGCATGAGCCACTGTGCCTGGCATGACTTTGTGATAGTTGCACAACTCCCTCCCTCCAGAGATGTTTTTGCACTATTCTTAGGGTAGGAGCCAGGAAGTCAGGAAGTCTCTGTCTTCATTCCTCTGCTCTTCTCACCTCCTTTTTCAATAACCCATCAGAATCTGCCAGCCAGTCCCTATATCTCTGCTCAGAAAAAAGTGGATTCATCAGAGTTGAAAAAATTAAGGTCCCCTCCTGGAGTGAAATTAAGACCCACTCGAGGGTCTTACCAAACTGAGCCCTTGTGGAAGTGCCCAGAGAGCTGCTGCATTTCCTCACTCCAGGAGGCACCATTCACATTATTAGCTTGATACCTCCTGTAATTGTACAGTGCACAGCCTGGGCAGCTGCACCAGGCAGCCTTGGGACCTGGATCCACAGCTGCTTCTCATGTTCACTTTCAGGCTGTAGACATGCTACTTCCTTTCAGGAAGAAGAGGATTCTGGACTTCTGACAAAGTCTTTCAGGCCCAGGGAGTTGTGTCTGAGAGTGAGACGGACTGAGTAGCCCAGGCTTCTCAGGATCAACAACCTGGAGTTACCAGAGAATCTCATCCAACATCCAGCTGGGCACAGCTCAGTGTGGACTCTGCTGGTGACCTCCCTGTCCCCCACCTCTTGCTGTTTGGCTTGACGTTGGATCCCCTCTTTCACTCCAGACCCCTGGACCTTTGGGATTTTTGCATTCTCTAGAGACTTGAGGTTCCTCAAAGGTGTCTCCGTGCATACTGGTGAGGTGGGCCGGGGATGCAAAGCTCTGTTCTTATAAGGTTTACATTTTGAATTTCTAAAAATTTTGTCCAAAGGGATTCATTTCCTAGCTTTTATTTATTTATTTATTTTTAAAGCAGTTTTGAAACTTACTGTCCTAGATTAATCTAGCCTTGATTCTACCCAACCCTGCCTGACAACTGGGTTGCCTGGCAGCATGGTGGAGGGACAAGGAAGCTGAGATCCAAGCAGATTTTTCCTGGAGTCAGACTGCAGCAGGAGGTTTGGGTGAGGAAAGGCTAGACAGGGTGTGAACTAGTGGGGCTGTCGGCAACCAAAAACGGATGTTCCTGCCCCCAAGCCTGGTCCTGGTCACTGGGTTCCTGCCTGAACAGTCACAACAGCCCCCAAACTGGTTTCCCTGTGTCCTCTTCCTCCACTATAACCCATTTGCCAAAGGGCAGCCAGAGGGACTTTTCAAAAATCCACAACTGATCAAGTCACTCCCCTGCTTCTAACCCTCCAACACAGGGTTCTCACCCCATGGGGCCACAGACCAGTACCGGTCTGTAGCCTGTTAGGAATCGGGTCACACGGCAAGAAGTGGGCCTATTGTGAACTGTGCACGTGAGGGATCTAGGTTACACGCTCCTTATAAGAATCTAATGCCTGATGATCAGAGGTGGAACAGTTTCATCTTGAAACCATCCCCCACAAGCCCTGGTCCGTGGAAAAACTGTCTTCTATGAAACCAGTCCCTGGTGCCAAAAAGGTTGGGGATTGGTGGTGTAACAGCTTCCAATTATTTTTAGCATAAAGTAAAACTCCTGGCCAGGTGCAGTGGCTCATGCCTAAAGTCCCAGCACTTTGGGACATCGAGGTGGGAGAATCACTTGTGGTCAGGAGTTCGAGACTAGCCTGGCCAACATGGCCAAACCCTGTCTGTACTAAACATATAAAAATTAGCTGGGTATGGTGGCGCACGCCTGTAATCCCAGTTACTCAAAAGGCTGAGGCACAAGAATCGCTTGAACCCGGAAGGCGGAGGCTGTAGTGAGCCGAGATCACGCCATTGCGCATCAGTCTGAGCGACACAGCGAGACTGTGTCTCCAAAAAAACAAACAAAAAGAAAACAAAAAAGCTCACCACAGCCTCCCAGCCACTGCACTTCCTGCCCTACCCGCTTTTGGATGTAATCTCATGCCATGCTCTTCTCACGGTTTATGGAAGGCCCCCACAGCACTGCTTCTTTCTGTTCCTTAAACATACCTCTGTTCCTCCCACTGCTGGGCCTTTGCACAGGCTGGCCTTCCTTCCTGGAATGCTCTTCCTCCTCCAGGTCTCAGCTGGCATGAGGGAGGCCTTCCCTCACCACCTCAGCCAAGTCTGACAGTCCCTGCACTGTAACTCCCTAGCACATCGCCTGATTTCTATCTTTTACAGCACTTATCCAAGTGTATGATTAACTTGTTCATGTGTTTATAAACATCATCTGCCTCCATCTCCAGATTACAGGCTCCAGAGTATTGGGACCCCGTCACAGGTTCACCGCTGCATTCCAGCTCCTGTAACAATGCTCTAGATGGACACTTGATACATCATTGCTAAATGGATGGATGAATGAATAAATGGATGAATACATGACGAATTGAGGAACTGACCATAGAGAGACGAAAGGCACATCCAGAGGATCCCCCATGGCTGAAATGTGGAAAGAAGAAGGTCCTCTTTGGAAGGACAGTGGCTCCACTCTCTGGGCCT